TAGAAGCACAAAGCTTACCTCAAGTAAATATTAAAGAAAAAGAGAAGCAAGACTATGCATTTTGTTTGGAAGAAAGCCTTAAGACCAAACCAAAGTTTGTACTGTTGGTTGAGGATGATGCCTTTCCACACCCTCAGCTGTTTGAAATCTTGTATTATGTTCTTGAAACTAGAAAAAAGGCAATGGAGTCACGCGTATCAACCTCCAATGTCTTGTTTTATAAACTTTATCATCCAGAAAGACTTCTTGGATTTTGGAGTTTAGAGCCAGAGCGCATTCCCCAACTGATCAGCTTTGCTGTGTTCTTTGGTAGCTGTGCAACACTTCTATTGAATTTTGTAATGTTATGCATGAGAGGACGTTGGAAACGCAAGTCTAGTATCCATATAATCTGGTTTTGGGCAATAGTGTACTTCCTACTGATGGCTATTTCAATTAGCAGGCAACATATCATTGAAATGCAGTATATCTCAAAGAGGTTCTTTACAGTTAGTCCCACACCCTCCTGTTGTACTCCTGGAATGTTATTTGTGGCCGATGAAGCTAAGCAATGGTTGCATTACATGAAAAATCATATTTGCTCACAAACTTATGGCAAGGATAAAATGTTAGATGATTATCGACAACGACATCACGTGAAAGGATTGATTGTGCAACCTAACTTGTTTGTACATATTGGTTTCTTTTCAACTCTAAGCAGGAAGTTTTTGCACCCTTCACTTATGTACTATCCAAGCTGGTTCAAGCTCTATTAATTTCATTTACAAGCTTTAATAAGATATAACGATTATATCCAATTTCTTAGGTTTTTTCGGTTTACTGATTTGGTGCATCTAATTTCTTGCTTCAGTTACACAAACAGAAACTCTCTCATATAGTTTAAACAACTTTCAACCTCATCTGTAATATTGCTGGGAGATGAGTTTTGGTTCAGGACCATATAATTTGTTAAACAGAGTTGCTCTTCAGATTGTTTAAAGTTGAAATCACGTAAAAGTTTTCTATTTATTTCCCTATATTTTTTGGGATAAGATCTTCTATATTTAGCCACTGACTGTCCCGTTTTCTAAGGTTCATAGTTATTCTAGTTTTACCCCAATACGGTTTGAAATAAAACATGAAGAAAAAATTGTATGAGTTAAGCTTACATGTAATTATTGAAGAATACCGTAAAATTCCGAAAATAAGCCCCTCCAAATATAAACCCCCCAAACCAGTGACGCAAAAAACCCTCCGTTAAATGGCCCCTCCTTGCAAGATGGTCCGCCCTAAGTAGGACGGCGAAAAGTACTTCCAAGGATTTGGCAATTTTTTGTTTTTCCCCCTCTGTTAACTGTTTGAGTGTTTGTAGTTGTGATGGCCCTTAAATTTCAAATATTTTAGTTCACTTTTGAAGCAATTTCTGTTCTTACCTGGGAAGGCAACTACATGCCCAGTTCTGGCCAGTTTGTAAAACTCGATTTTCAAAACTTTTCCCGCCACTGACACCGTGTGCAAAAGCGAGCGACCAAGCTATTAGGCTGATTTAGCAACAGAACGGGAACGTCATTTGACGACGGGAAAGCGCGCGGAAAGGACTAAATTCGACTTCCGGTGCCCAATTTGCCGCTCTGTCATTGGTCAACCCAGTTTTTTGATTTGCGCGCGCAGTCGTCAACTGACGTTCTGTTCTGTTGCTAAATCAGCCTATTGGTAGCCTGCGTGGCAGGCGCAAAAAGGGGAGGGGGAGGGGGGAGGGAGAAAGGGAATCCCAATCCCCCTCCCCTTTTTCCCTTCCTCCCTATCCCCTACCCCCTATCCCTTTCGACGCCTGCTACGTTAACTGCTACGCAGGCTAAGCTATTGGTTACTTCCCCAGATCGAGAAAGCTGATTGGTGGAGCTACTTTTGCTACGTTGCTTATCAGTTGCTTATTTTTCCCTGAGCCTGTTACAAATACATTTTCCTTTCATTTTCCCTCACCATGTTCGCCCAAATGATAAATTCTTTTCCTTGACTAACAATAATAGACCATAAAGTTCAAATTGGGTCGCCAGTTTCTGAACAATGGCGGCGTTACCTCGAAAAACCTGCCTGGCGTAGTTGCTACTCATCCTACAATAGAAATTTTTTGAAAGGTGGAACTTGCCCCCTAGCCTGCGAACAGCAGACGCATTTCCGGTCGTCGCTTCTCTCCCTCCGAAAAAATGGAAGCGACGACCCGAAATGAGTCTTCTGTTCGCGGGCTACTTGCCCTCTGACCTAATTTTATTCCTGGAAAGCTTCCACTTGAGCTTTTTTTTTTCAATCAGCTTGTTTTTTTACTCGCACTCTCGGAAAACATTAGCCAACCGTCGAGCCACGTTTGTCCTCTAAACTGATGCGTTTTTTCCACCGACTGGCATGTATGAGTCAGGTGTATTACAGGGGCGGAAAAGTTAGAAAAAAAGAAGAAAAGTTGGAGCGCGGCAAGCGCGTCAAACTAGGGGGATCACTGAAATGTCATATCCTGTGTTTTTCGCGGGACATTTTTACTAAATATATGTGAAGGAATATGCAGTAGGTAGTTGTTTATTTTACCCATCTCTAGCGTTATCGGTAAGATAGACTGTACACGGAAAAAAGGTCAAACAGTGACGCCATCACCCTTCAGAGAGGAAAACTCTCTTACAATGCCACCAATATCAATGTTCTTGTGCTTGTGTATGCCGGCGCAGAATTGCTAGAGAGCTCAATCTCTCGTCTGACGCCACACTAAAACGTTTCTCGCCCGGCCGTTTATGGAATAATAAAAGGATAAGGGAAAAACTAACACCAATACGAAACATTTATCAGTCATCCCGATTTAATGATAAAAATCCTTTCAGGGAATAAAAAAAGCATTTTTTTCCCAAATTTCAGCTATACACACGGACGTATGTGCGTAAATGGACGCTACGCTCCTGGACTATTGTAAGAAATTGAAACCTCACTGAAATAAAGATGTATTAAGTATTTGCCGGATGCCATCGGATATAAAGGAAGGGGAACTAGAGTAGTGGAAACCGATAGGGCCAGCGTTTTTAAATTATGCAAAATAGTTGTTCCTACTCCATTTCATTTATGTCACGTTTTTCAGGAGCTATTTGGAGAGAGTTTTCTTTCGTAATTCACAGAAGTTCACACAAAATCTTGCCGGGAATGTTCTCGTGATTCTGTGCCTTTCAGGTCAGTGGCTTGCCAGAGCAGATGCCTTTCCAGCTTTTGTCCCGGGAATTCGTTGCACATGCCGACAAAATTCCTCCCTATGTATACTAATTAGCAAAAGCTTTTGCGAAGTCCAATATGGCTGTATGTACCATTCTGGGATCTGTGCAGCGTTTGCATTGCTGCACAGTAATTTTGAAGGAGTTATAATAACTCCTCTGGTGGGGTTAATTTAACTCCTTACGGTGGAATTATTTTTTCGAGGAGTTATTTTAACTCCAGGAAGGACTTTTCCGGGAGTAAAAATCACCCCAGATATTAACGAGTTAAAATAACCCCTAAAAAGGAGTTATCCTATACCTAAAATTTTTACTCGACTTTAAGAGTTAAAGTCACTCCAAAAAGAGTAAAAACAACCCGCGTAAGGAGTAAAAATAACACCATTTTCGGATTTATTTTAACTCCAGACTGGGAGCTACAAAAACTCTTTTTCAGGAGTAAAAATGACGCCAAATTTGGAGTTAAGTTAGGAGTGAAAGTAACCCCATAAAAGGGGTTATCCTCTACCTAAACTTTTTACTCCATTTTTGGAGTTGCAATAACTCCCTAAAAATTACTGTGTGTGAGTCTTCTAAGTAGTGTGGATAAATGAGGCATTTCACTCGTATTCTGATGGGATTTTTATACAGGACAAGGAACCAAGGAGGAATTTCGCATGGTCTGCCTGGAAACTCGATATAACGAACCTCTAAATAACGAAGTCCTTAGTATAAAGAACAATATTCTTTGTTCCAGTAATAGTAAGATGGGGCCAGGGTCTAAAATATATGGAAACTGAGAGCCCCGTTTTAACGAACATATTTGTCAGTGTTAGTCTCTTAGCCCTTCGTTATAACATTGACTGAGGCTCCACTGTAAATGCTAATAACCCAATGTTTGACCCTTTTACTTCTTCTAACGTAAAAACGTTGTAAAAAAAATTCAAAATTCGTTTGTGAAATGCTAAGAAGAAAGTGGTACTACGCAAAAGTTCTTTTAAAGAGGTTTCCCCTTGAATCGTAACACCATAGGATTTTATCCACAGACTTAACGGTTAGAACTACATATTAGAAGATAACTAGCACCATAATGAAAGGACTGTCGAAGAGGTTTCATTTGAATGGTACCACCATAGGATTCTGTCCACAGACTAAAAAGTTAGGACTACTGGGGAGGTTTCATTTGAATGGTATAATATCAGGGAATCCCGTTCACAGAATTAAAAGTTAGATTCGGGTTAGAAATGACGAATAATCTTGCCATAATTTGATCTAGGTGTGAAAGCCAAGACTTTAAGTGTTAGGGATTTGAAAACTGTTACTTATTGTTCCAGTGGATAAATCTCTATCCACTGGATCACGGAATCATTAATTGCATTCCCTATTATACTTATCCACTGGACAGTGACTGGATGGTGATTTATCTAGCTTGCGAGCAAGCTCTCCTATTTGGGCAAGACTCGTTTCACTCGCCCAATTAGGAGAGCTTGCTCGCAAGCTATGATTTATCCGGTGGATAGCACTAACCAACGTTCAATCGAATCGTAGTCATAAGCATGGTTTCGAAGTTTAGATAAGGCCACACTCGCCTTTATATTGTCTGCAGCAGAAAACTTTCAGATAATGTAAAATTAACCTCTAGATGACTTAAAGGATTAATCCATTGCTTTGTTTATGCTTCTCTACATCAATAATAACCTACAATCATCTTTTGATGATTTCTTTTACATGAACAGAGATATTCACCAATATATCACAGGTTAACCTAATGACATTCTCAAAATGAGTACCGATGTTGTACCGAGCGTCTCATTTGTAGCCTTGGGGTTCCTGTACAGTTCCCACACCATTTGTGTCATGACATTTCGTCAATCAATCATGGCTCCCTAGCCAATGAACACAGACGTATATCAGGTTGTCCCTTCCGCAAATACATCTGCGTTCGCCGGCTGTGGCCTCCAGGCTGCTACAAATTGACTATGAGAGTCATGCAATCTGCAAATGACCTTTTAAAATCCAGATGAATCATTTTATTAAGTACCTTACAACCAGGTGCCACTGTTTCGAAGTGCCTTAGAGTGAGATTGATTGAATACTTGTACCTGTTTGATTGGTACTTAAATACATGCAGTTCTTTGAATAACTTGAAAATTCCCAGAAAAGAGTTATGTGTCATAGTTCTTATTCGAAAATGCTATAAATTAACTGCACCCTAAGTCGGTGAAGCATAACCTTTGTGATTTGTGAACTATCCTCTACAGAACCTGACCTGATTACAGGCTCAGTTTTGAGATAGAAAAAAAAGGAAAATTATTGTCCTGAAAAGAAGATATTTCACTGTCTTGTCTTGTATGGATGAGAAAACAAAAGAATGACCAACATTTTCAGCAAAGCCATTGTTTCACCCTTCTCATCCCTTTGTTCATATTTTTTTGCTATCACTTCCACTATAGAACCACCTTATTCAGTCACAGTACCACCTGAACTACAGTGGAAGTCCGTTAATACGGTCACCAATGGGCCAAAAAAATTGTCCGTATTAACAGGGTGGCCGTATTAACGAGGGTTTTTTACACGAAAAAGTATGGTGGTTCTTGCTGGGTGGCCAAAAAAAGTGGTCGTAATAATGAGGTGACCGTATTACGAAGGTGGCCGTAAGGCAGGGTTTCACTGCATCCTTCCTTTTTCTCAGAGATTTTGCTGGCAAAGTCTTGTTAAACTCTATGACCCACCAATGGCAGGGACAGCTTGTTGGATAAAAGTGTTTCACCTATCTCTGTACTCATATTAGACAAAAAATTGTCTTGGGATCTCCAGTGGCTGGCGATAATCCAGTCTATGTGTTGGTCATCTGAGGTAGTAATCAATAACAGTTGAAAATGCTGCAAATCCAAGTGCACCCATAACGGCTGCTTTCCCACCAGCTATGAAAAATTTGGAAGAAGAAAAAACTCAAAGGAGATCAATACACTAGCAAATTATTTTTGAGTTGAGTGGGAAATTGCTATAATGACCAAAGACTTTTGGTGCTTTAAACAATTTAGCATGTTATAACTAGCATTGACACCCTTCCCAACTCAGTTTTTCTTCTTACTCTCCTGGACTAATCCAGGTTAGCAGATGGGACTAAAATGGAGCTAAGTCATTTATTGCTCAACACTGTCATAGCTTTTGGCTTCGAAAGATGCATTATTGTTTTTATCTAAAACATGATCTAAGCAGGATCACTATTCTGCAGTGTCAATACCTCTCAGCCCAAGGAGTCCACCAGTGATTCCTCCTGAAAGCGTTCCATTTTTCCAGTCACTTTTTCCTCGAAACTGCAAATTATACCAAAATATCAAGATAGGGAAAACCCTTGCCAGATGAGGCGCAGATCCACATCGGTTTCCACTGTTTTATGAAAATTGGTCAGATTTTTCATAAATAAAATAATTAATACATTTTTAATGAAAAAAACTTTTCAAGTTAAAATCTGGCCAATATCCTGACTAAATAACTCAGAAACCCAGGAAAGGTGACCTTTGGGAGCAAAAAGCCAAAAAAATTCACTGGGGTGCATGCCCAAGATCCCCCTAGAAGCTTGCGCCTTTGGCCCTTGTTTAGGAAATCTGTTGACTTGTACTTCACTGACTGATCTTAGCAGAAAAAACATTCAAGTTAAAGACTAAAAACATTGGTAAAAATAATTAACATAATTACTTTAATTTAAACTTAAACAGTGACGAGGGGGTGGAGGGGTCATTTAGACATATCTTTATGTACTTACAGACTCTACAAGGCATTCAGTTCCAGAAAACATGAAACCCACTACACCAAAATTTTTTCCATAAGAAACTGCACGAGATCTCATGTCTTTGAGAATAGCCTTAGCTGATTGATCAGCAACTCCAGTCATAGGATTGGGCATGGATGAGTCCATTCCAGCAGTAAAAAGGCCAAACACAGCACCAAGACCATAACCTGTATGGGTGATAAATTGCAGATTCACACTTTAAAAAACAAACATCAAGAACAAGGCAAACATGCCAGTTGTGTGGTGCTGGCGTTTAAAGTTCAGCCTTATTTTTGTGCCTTATTAGAAGAAAACAATGTTTAGTCTTTATGACTCCATAACATTCCTCAGCAATAACACAAAACCCTCTGCCCCTACAAAAAAGGTGTCAAGTCATAACCATACTACTACATGTGAAACTTGGGGTACCTCCTGCAGGTACCAGCACAGATCAGGGTTCATACCCTCTTGAGCTCTTCAGATTCCTTGACTTTCCATGAGTTTTTCCATGACCTTAGGTTTAACTGTCACTTTCGAAAATTTTCAAAACTTTCCTTGATTTAGAATATTTTGTTGACCTTAAACAGTTCAATGGAAAAAAACTCTGGTATCCACTAAAATGCGTGACATTTGTGCTGTTTAATTACTCCTCTTCATCTTACATTACATAATTGCTTTGTCATCTGCAGTAACTAATCTACCCAAACAAAACTTTAATTATTCATGACTTTCAAGGACCAAAAAGTAAATTCCACGAATTTCCAGGACTTGCAAATGAAATTCTTAAATTCCATAACTCTACAGGTTTTCCATGACCTGTATCAACCAGCCTGCAGATAATGAAGAACCAACACAAACAAACAAAACAAGGAGATCCAAAAAATACAACTCTCAAGGAGGGTGGGTACTCCCCGAATGGTGGTGCTTGCTAGATGTCTTGATCAAGACCCCTAACTCTGCCCCCCTCTCCAAAAACCAAAATTTTTTCATGGTTAGGCTACTAGTGATCTCAGCACAACCACAACAACAATGGAAGTAAGAAAATAAGCAAAGCTAAAACTCTGCAAGTGCAGCAAACTTTTTGGCAGTTTTCTTTGCTGTCATTGCACAACTAACATTGTCAAACATTACTGAAATAGCAATGTGATCTTCGCTTAATCTCTAAGATCATCGCTTCATTAATGGTGATTATTATTCATTCAAAATATTTCCCCAATTCTGATTGGCTAAAAGCACACGCATAATTCACCATAACCAGTTAATGATGACCAAACTTGGAAGAATTTTGACTTTAACTAGGAAATGAGATCAAAAATGCAGCCTTCTTACGGGTTAAAGCACCATGGGAACGAGCCTGAGTTGTTTTGGTTGTGAAAATAAAAATGGCCGACACTTCACTCGTTTCAAGAGAAAAAACTACAGCCGGAACTAGGCGTAATAATAGCAAAAAACATAGCAAAAACAGCAAGAAGACAACTCGGAGGGCGACAGCTGCTGTTTGGAGAATATTTGCGGAGCTGGGCAAACCTAAACGTAAACTATCGAAGGTAAACTTAACATCGATGCCGGTAAGCTTGTTTTAGCTATGTTTTTGAACTAGGAATTGTTTTGAATGAATAATATAACAATTATTGAATTCGGCTTTCGTATCATATGAAGAATTATGGAGATCGCGGAGGTTGTTATCCGCCTCAGCCTACGGATAACACCCTCCTTGATCTCCATAATTCTTCATAAGATACTCAGCCTCATTCATTAATTGTTAATTGTTAGACAAATAAAAAGATATCTCGCCACTTTCCCCGTTTTTCCTGCATACAGACCAAACTATAACACATTAATTTTAGTAAAGCTGATAAAATTCGATACAGTTAAGAGGACTTGCATTGTGAGTATCGATTATTGATATTAATCTATTAATTGTTATCAAATATATTGATTTTATTGATTGTTTTCCGATGATCGATTTTTATCGATTGGGCACGCCTGAAGAATTGGTGGTCCCGTATCCAGTAAGAGCCGTAGAAAGAGTTTTCTCCATTATTAATAACGTGTTAGGCACATTGAAAATTAATGAACTAAAAATGAAGTGGGCTTTTTTTATAAATTATCTTCTTACAGTACCTACGACTCCGGCCAAAACTGACTTGAAAGCGCAGTTTTCCATGGCTCTTTCTACCATCAGTTCCTGTGGTGTTCTAATCACATTTGGAAGTCCAACAGAGGGAACAAATGGAGGTCTACGTTTCCTTACTTCTTGTACAGCTGGAATGATCGAGCTTAGCGGCATTTCGTCATTGGGAAATGAAAAGTTTTGATACTCCTCGGCCTTTGGAGGGTCCGCCATGTTGGATTAACGGTATCGTTCCAGACCTCTACGGACGAACTCAAATCCGGAAGTCTGGATTCACTGACGTGTCTTTTGTAATACAACAAGAGCTCTGGCAAGATGGCGTACCAAACATTTCAGCAAGAATACTTGCAAATGCCGGTGGTTACACGGACATATGCGACTGCTTGTGTAGTCACAACACTTGCAGTGGTAAGGAAATTTTTTTGGTTGGGATTTGACTGATTTGACTGCGTAAAACAAGTGAAAAAGATTTGTTTACACGCAACTGCGAGTGTCTCCATGTCCAGCATTCTGTGCCATCTGTTTTAAAATAACTTTTTTTTTTGTTTTTGTCGTTAGCAACTTGAGTTGATAACGCCCTTTCAGCTATATTTCAACCCTGAGCTTATATTTCAAAGATTTCAGGTAGGTATTTTCTTAGGTAACAATATTATCTTCTTGCAGTATAAGAATATATTTAGAGGAAAAAAAAATTACTATGCATAAAATATTCTCAATATCACATTCACGTAATAAATCTCAGTACAATCAGCATTAATAAATATTGATATACGTATTGGGCATAAAATTATTAGCAGAAAGTTTATTCACTGGGTTAAATTTTCTTTAAAAAGAGGTGAAGAATCATGAAAAAAATAGTGAGATTTTCAAAGTTTTTTCAATATTAACATTTTTAATTTTTTCTGTTTTGCTTCCTTTTTTCAGTTTTGGAGACTGATAACAAATTTCCTGTTCTTTGGGACAATTGGATTCAACTTCTTCTTCAACATGATTTTCACATATCCTTTAGAATCTGTTAATTATGTTCAGCCATGCATGTTCAGTAATAAAGTATGCACACTCTGTTTATTCAGGAGCCCATAACCTGGAGTGAGCAAATCACATACTAGGCCTATGTCACACAATGTCACACCATTTTTTACAGACCAGTTTATTTTTAGAAACATTTTAGAGCACTTTTTCCCCACAAAAAGGGAAGCTCTGCTATGTGTATGAGCACATTCAAAAGATAAGATTTGAAAAAGGAAAAAAAAATCATTTAAAAGGTCCAATATACCCTTTTCAGGGTTGTAGGTTGTGATAACTGGTTCATGGGATTAAAAAGATGTCCTAAATTCCTGCCAAAATCATTCTGGTCGGTGAAAACCTTGTGGCATGACTCAAACACAGGGAAATTGCTCACTCTGGGTTATAGGTCCCTGGTTTATTTTATTTTGAAGAATAGATGAAGTTAATTTATACTTACTTTGGAGCTGTGAAAATATATTTTGAAGCAAATTAGCAGGGGAGAGACCACCAAAAGTATGCATACAACTTTTTCAAATCTTGTATATTTCTTTTTATGAAGTCATCCTTCAAAGGAATGAATACATTGAGACCTCTAAAACCTATTGCTATGAAAATCACTTGAACAACTCTAAATAGTAGGTTTTTCCCTGGGGATGAAATCTATCTTAATAATGCTTTTACTCCCAAAGTGGCCATGGTCAATATTCAACAAAATTGCCAGATTTCATTTGAATAAAAATTTTGAACAACAAAAGTACTGAGAAAATATTGCCTGCGTGCAGACGTCTCCTATTTCCTTTGTTGCACTCGGAAAAGGGACATCTGCGTAACGCCGTCGCTAATCGTGTTCCAGCGTCCTGCTGGGTTCCGAAGATCTTGGGAACACGCTGTGATAGGCTGACACACAGTGCGCATTGTTTGACTTAACGCTGATTGGTTGTTGTCGAATGTGGTCTGATAATGTATGCGGTGATTCAAATGATTTATGTAAGCGGGGTTTTCTAACCAAAACAAATCAAAACATGTGCGATTGTGTACTGTGTTTTTCGTCGATCGAAAAGCAGAGCGATCGAAATCTTGTGCGGGGACGCGGAAAATTTAACGTGTACGAGGAAATTATTTCTTTACAATTTACTGTGCATGACACATCACATCATATTTGTAAACAGTGTCTGAGAAAACTACAAAAGCGGCGTGGACTTCGCACCAGGCAGGCATTTCGGAGAAAGGCACCCAAAGAAACTAAAATCTTTACTTAGCCGTAACAAACAGAGGTCAAGAAAATTAAAACACTTTACAACTGCATCTGAAATCAAATCCTATCGGGAACACCCACAGAAGCATAAACCACAGGAAATGATTACTCAGTATGCATGTAACAAACCTGCTTCATGACCTCTAAATGAAAGACTTAGCGCGGCAAAAATGAGATTTACTCAGTCAAAGGTTAGAATGCTACATGCACTGTGTAGTGCTAGTAATCTTCGCGCGATAAAGAAAAGAAGAAAAACCTCTGTTCAAGCAGACTCTCAAGGTCACGTTTCGCCCGTCTCACGAGCTTATGATGTTTTGTTTGGCCTGTCAACTCTTATTTCTAACCGGATATTATTCACAATTTATGCGAAATAGAATACCCTGCCAGCGGGACGCTGGAACACGATTAGCGACGGCATTACGCAGACGTCCCTTTTCCGAGTGCAACAAAGGAAATAGGAGACGTCTGCACGCAGGCAAAGAAAATATTAAGAGAATATGTTACTGCAGAAAAGAATTTATTTGAATGGTAACACTATAGGGTTTCATTCATAGACTCGATAAGTACCTTAAAAGACTCATTTGCTCAATATGAGAGTGAAATTGTTAACAAAATTATGTTCTCCCCAAGAGAGCTTTTAAAAAACATACCAATAAAATGTTGCTTTTGATATTAGAGGCTAGGATGATTATGATGAAGCATCCATTCTGCTTCAGAAAATAGCAAACTAACGGTATGAATAGTTTAATACAGTTTTGCAGTTATATATACCTGTAACTGTTACAAGTGGTTGATTTTGTAAATGTTATTTATTCACATTTAAGTTTTATTCATTTATTTTTAATTAACCATTCTAATTATTTATCACTGACTGCTGTACCCCTGTGTTTCCGCCTGCCTCGACTAGCACCCGCTCTTTGCAGGTGGAAACGGACTTTCTGTATGTCAGTTGTTACAAAAGTGTGAGTGAATGGTTTCACACAAGTCATTGCTGCTGTTTTCAAAAATCCTAGAACTCATGATTTATCAACATTGATTAATTTAGTTGATTAAATCCTTGACATATGATAGTTATCGGTATTGTCGGATGTTAGAGGAGGGTTCTTTCAGAGGAAGAACTGCTGACTTTGTTTTTATGTTCATGTTTGGTGGAGTGATCATGACTGTATCCTTGATAGTGTTGTTAATAAACTTATCTTAAGTACACTTCTTTCACTGCTAAAAGAAGTTATACTCAGTACTGAAATATATTCAGAAAAAGATATAATCTTATATTAAAGAGAGAAACAAACAAAACAATCTGATAATCATAAAGTAATACTTGAGAAAACAGTAATATTTGTTTTGAATTCATCGCATTGTATGACTTTGTTCACAGAATCAAAAGTAAGAACCATCCAATACCACTGTAAAGATCTGATGAATATCACTGATTCATTTGAATTTTAAAACCGTGTGGTTTTATATAACTTTCAGAGACTCAAAAGTTTGAACCTCATTCAAAATTCAATAATATTTCAATCTGCAATATATAGGTAAAATACATGTCAGACCAAATCTGACACAACTATTTTATCAGGCTTGTGAAACAAAATAGATCTTTTTTTGTATCAGTAAACAATCTGAACTAAAATCAATAATATTGAACCCTCCTTTTGAGAAAAACTGTTCCTTGACTTCTGCATTCAGATCATTGCCCTGTTTGTCAACTTAGTCTTTCTAGGCCAGGCATTCACCATCATGCTGGTGTACGTCTGGAGCAGAAGAAATCCTTATGTTCGCATGAACTTCTTTGGTCTCTTAACTTTCAAGGCTCCATTTTTACCCTGGGTGCTGTTTGGTTTCTCACTCATGCTGGGAAATTCAGTCATGGTTGATCTTATAGGTAAAACAATTTTATTGCTGAAGACCATACATGAAGAGAGAAATTTTTTCGGCTTAAAATTGTGCAAATTAAGTTCATCATTAATAGTGTAATCTTGAACCGTAAGCCTCAAATTATTGTATTGACATGACATAAGTGAAAACCATTTGCATTAAGGAATAGCAACTGATCAACAGTAGCTTGTATCAGAGGGGTGGGGGGGGGTACTGCCATATATAGGCTAACATAGGTATGTGCTGTTGTAAAGGGTATGTTTTTCAAGCCGTTTAGTTTGGGAGAGGGTATAGAAATCAGATAGTTTGTGTCTAGAATTGTGTATCATTTTCCAGGAAACTGATGGGTTGAAGATTTTAGTCTAGACCAGGTAGAGGAGCCAGAATTGAAAAAGAACACCAAATCAGCAAATTCAAATTCACCTGATACTCAGTTTGATGACAAAGAAAGCATTAATGGATGGAAAATAGTGGGTGTAGGATAGGGAGGGATTTGGGGAGTTTAGTCTAATGTAAGGTTACCGTAGCAAAATTTAGCTGAAACAGGTCTGATATAGGCTAATGGTTCTGGGTTCCCAGTTGCACATCTGCACCAAAACATTCCTCAAGTGCCCCCCCAGCTTGTATCCCTAATAACTCGATTATTAAAGTTGAAACACCGGTTTAACAAATTTATCTAGCCTCACACGGAACCAGCTAGTATTTCTTTTTCTTTTTTTGCGAAAAGTTTACGTCTATTCCTTCTTAATTGTTAAATGATAAAAGTCTGATTGGACCTAAACACTAGGGCAATAAAACAACCACTCAGTAACCCTAAATCTTCCTCTTCTTACTTGCATCTCCACCTTTTACTCATGTTTTTCAACTGTCTTTCAAGGTATTGCAGTGGGGCATATCTATTATTTCTTTGAAGATGTTTTCCCTGAGCAACCAGGTGGCTTTAGGATACTCAAGACACCAGGAATTTTGTAAGAAATGTTAATATTGTTTGTTTTCAAACATATTACCCACAACATCAGTCTGTCATAGCCTGCGTAGCAAGCAAAACCGAAAGTCCCCTTCCTCGGTCTTTCTTTGCTCCGAAACCAAACGGAGACGCTTGCCACGCAGGCTACATCTGTCATGACTACCCTCTTGATGAAAACATACTTACTGTGGTGGACCTACCCAGTAAACTAATAAGTGATTTTTTTAAAAAAAGGAATATAAAGAATGAAGTTTTTATGCAAGATATTGTTTACATTGAATGGAATTTATTCCAAACAGTATTCTGCCACTGACCACATAGAGAACATAATGACATTTTAACTACAGTGAAACTGCTCACTGGCTAAAGGATCTGAGTGAGGAATGCTGGCATGTTACAAAATCTGGGACTTCTGAGGGTTTCTGATTACCCACCTAAGTTGCCTAACAACCAACTTTAAATTCTGGAAGTACTTCATGCCATCTATATAATTTTTGAAGAATGTTTGAGGATCCCTGTATTTATTTCAAAGAAGCAGGAGGTATGACTTTACTAGTGGTAAACCTCTAAGTTAAAAACAAAAATTTTAGAAACATGTACTGTCACTGCAGAGAAATGGGGCCTGCCAGTCAATAATACTCACCGATATGATTTTGCAATTGTGTAGTTCCAGAAAAAATACATACTCCCCCAACGGAAGGGATTGGAAATTCCTGGGGGGTGGGGGTTTCTCAAAGGCCCAAAAATTTAAGTAAATGTATGAAGCTCGACTGGAATTTCCAGAGAGGTGGTGGGGGGGTCTAAGGAAAAATCCCTTCTGTGGGGGAGGTATGGATAATTTTTGGAACCACACATTATAAATAATTATTAAAATATGCTGTTTACATGTACATTTTGTATTTCCTTATAGGAAAGCCATCTTTGATGCTCCTCCAGAAGACCCAAACTACCAACCTCTTCCAGAAGAGGACAGGCCTGGAGGATTTAACTGGGGTGAAGGACAGAGAGTGGGCGCGGAACACGAACATGATGATTGAAAAAAAGAACAATACCAAAATAGAAATTGTTATTCCTCACACAAGCCTTAATCAAATTATCATAATGTGTAGTGTAAGATAATATTTATACTTCCCCTATGGGAGAACAATGGAATTGCATGGAGGCATTTGAAGAATATAACCTTTTTGATTTAGACAACAGTTTTTGTCGGAATAACACCATCTTTCCTCTTGCTTTTCAGTATACTGTCACTCCTTCCCACACCCCATTAATCCCATAAGTTGCCCAAGAAAGCCTAAACAAATATAATCTGTTCCTATGGGCTGGTTCACATAAGCAATGCAAACACAGGCACAAGGGATTTTGGCACATCCACTGAAAATGTAAGAACAATAAAGTACGCATGCGTATTTGAGCATATTGCAACCATTTTGGTGTACCTGTTTACATTTGTGACACACAGATGAAAGCACAAGTGAAAATACCGAAAGTAAAAAGCAGTTATGTCCCATTAGTCTTTGGGTAAACTGTGGCACAGGCTTTTTTAAGACATAGGCAAACTCAGGGCGAGCTAGTGTCTAGCGCGAAGCGTATGTGAAAGACGTGACGGGGACAGGCGCCTTCTGGAACGTGTAGTGGTTATCAGTTTTTCCACTGGCTCCTAATTGTGGCTCCTTTGTTAACGCTCTGGCCCCAGTTGTTCAAATGCTGGGTGGATAACTATAGATCTATTGGATAAATCTCTATCCAGTGAATACTGCAATGGGTTTTCCTAATACTTATCTGCTGGATTGAGATTTTATCCGGTAGAGATAGCTCTATCCAACGTTTGAACAACTGGGGCTTGAATTTAATGCTCAGCTGTTGTGTTATTATTTGTGGCTAAATCTGAATAAAGTATAATACTTTCATTCTCACAGTGAACTTATGTCTCTGCTGTACCTTACTCCTCTCTGGAATCTGGGGATTCAGCCGTGAAGGGTTCTCCTTGGGAGTTGAAGAAGAAAATTTTCCCCACACTTTTCCCAAATCAAACTCTTAGCAACTTTTTTCTCCTCAAGTCGATAAAGCCTTTTAACTTTTACCTATCTGTTAAAAGGATAGGCCCTAGGATACGCGAAGGAAATGAAAGAAGAGATAGACTCAGTACCCTGGTCCAAAAGGTTTTTCTTGAAATTTTTCGTCGAGATTGCGTGATGATGATGATGATGAGCTTCATTTAAGTGTCTCGTCTTCTAGCTGACCTAGTAAGGCCTACTAATAGGGAACACTACTGAATTAAAATTCGAGAAAATACTACCAAACTAACTACTTAAGAGAGAGAGCGAGTCGCGGCTCGATCTTTCCCAGGCGGAGAACTAATTTCAAGAAAAACTTATTGGAGCAGGATATATACTTAGTAGAAGAATTTGCAATAGAACATAATCTTGTGGAAACTAACACAGTTTTTCAGCAAACTATAAGAAGGCTTTACGCCTGGACAACACCTAACGGAGAACATAGGAATCAAATTGACTTCATTCTCAAACTGATCGGCGTAAAAATGGAGAGCATCAGCAAACTGAGGCACGGACCACGAGTTGCTATAAACACTGATTGAAGGTCAAAATGGTCAATACGAAAAGAGAACCAAAATCCGGCGTGTTTTCCAACATGAACAACATAATCAGTGAATTCATAGTCGAAAGTAAAGAACAAGTTCGCTTTGCTGTTATAGTCTACTGATCAAGGAAAAGGAGCCTGAGGAAATAGCTGAGTCTGATTGTGATTAAAAAGATAAAAGATCAGACAAAGAGAGAAGACTAAAAGATCTCGTGGATTTCTCAACGGGGTCCTCAACAATCACTTGAAAAAAAAAGAAGGAGGTGTTTGAAAGGCAAATCAGATGAAATTAGCAAAGAGCGATATAAAGAGTTATTAACCGAAAAAAGAGCCTCGTACAGGCAGGATAAGAAGACCTACATTTAGAGACCCTTAGAGAAATGCCAGACTGAGATAGAATCGCACCGGGAGCCGGTTTCCCGAAAGGCCCGAAAACTTTTCTGGCCCGAAGGCAATGAAATCCAAACCTGTTGAATAGTAGCACAGTTCCTGGCCCATAAACCAGTCAATTTTGCTTCGTTAACTGATAGTTTCATTCTCTGATTTTCAAAATTATTAAAACTTTGATCTTGAATGTAAACGCGACAAACACAAAGCAGCTTTCCGGGCCGGAATAGTTACCGGGACTTTCGAGAAAGACCCCAGGTCCTCATTACCTCACAGAAAACATTCAAAGACATAAACTCCATGACAAAGTAGATCCAGCTGCAGATCAGAGTAATAAAGAATAAACACGAAAGTATTCTCACAGAGAATGAAGAAATTAAATCAGAGTTGACAGAACATTGTGAAGGTTAGTATAAATGCCCTGAAGACACACAATGGAGGAGGAATCAAAAGTTGCGTTAACCAGGAGCCGCGGTAACAAAAGATCAGTGATGTACAACTTTTTTCAGTCACAGAGCTTTTCCTTTAAAAAAATGGGAAGTGCGCCCTTTCATTTTCCAAGGGAAAAGACCTTAATCTTTGCAGCTATCGTGCTACAAGTAATGGCTTCCGCAGATGTGACAGTTTCAGCTGCCACCTCCGCTAGACGATCGATTTCGGACGTTTTTGGGAGTTTTTTTTCTCATCGGTAGTGAGGGCTTTTACTATTTTATCCATACCTTGGTCGGTTTTGCGGGGTTCGTTTTCTGAGGATTCCACTTCCGCGCACTGCTCGAATTCCCGATTTTCACGACTCTTTATCTCTTCTCTCTCTCCTTTTCTCCTGGATCTTTTTCTATCCACAACGTCTTTCCTCCGCAGAAGCCCCCAGAAACCGGACGCCTCTGTGGAGGAATCCACAACTGTATTGAAAAGGGTCTTTGTTGTTTCGGGCAGTTCTATGATGAAGTCATTTTTTACAGACTTTATCTTCACACAAAATGCTCCGTTGGAGATACGAAGAATATCTCAAACAAATTTTACCAGGGACATTTACCATAATAATCAAATAATATATTTCTTTGGTGATTCCCAATGTAGAAATAGCATGTAAAACAGGAAAAAGTTGGCCCAACTTTCAATCCATGTCCACCCTTGTGACATCCTTGTCATCCGTTGCAAAAGATTTGAAGAAACGGCTTCAATGCCTTAATATATACCTCGTTCACATCAACGCTTGAATACGGAACTGACCATTTTAGAATATCTTTGGAATTAAAATGATACGACAAGTTTTGGCGTTTTAAAAAGATAGCAAATGGTGTGACATAAGCTCTTTAAACCTGGTCTGCTACACAGCCGTTTTTAGAGTCGTCACGCAACGCTGGAGAGGAGCGTTGCGTGACGACACTAAAAACGGCTGTGTAGCAGACTACTTTAAACCGGGTCAGTGCTCATTTGATCGATCTCGGCTATGGTAATTTATACCTGAAACATAACATCACGTCATAAATATCCAGCCTTTGTGCACCGGTCACAAAATCAAGTGCTTTCACTTTCGATACCGCCTGCAGCGCCTTGGCTGTCTGTTTCCCAATTTGTTTTTAACCGACTCTTTCACTTTTCACGGGGGTAAGTATGCACGCCTTTGATTCATTTAAGCATTTTTACACTGGACTGTGCTATTTGGTCGTGCTTTTAAGCAATGAGATTCGGTATCATGACTTTCCCAATCGCCGTGAATAAGCATAATCACTCGGCTATTAAACTTCCAGAACTTCTGTCTTTAACCATTTTCAAAATAAAGAAATATTTGCAGTGACGAACTGCATTTCAGTCAGTTAAGAGATTTTAGGAAATTTTCCATTTTCTCTCTGATCTCTTCTTGATGTTACTGAAACAAAGAAATCAACGGCAATTATCGTACCGTGTAACTCCTGATAGCGGAGCGTCCGCGGGCGAGAACCCCATAACTAAGGAAATTATATTATTTCGGTTCTGATGTCAGCGTACGACCAACCGCCTGTACAGACTCTGAGTATAGGGGTAAAACTGAAACACTCAATTGGGTAGGGAAGGGAATCCCAGACGTACCCGCGTGTACCTTGCGTTTTTAGGGGCAACAAAGGGAGCTACTCGAGCGGAAAATCGAGATTGACGTTTCTTGTGCTCGACTGACGACAAAATGTTTTGGAAAAAATTCTAAGGCTTTGCCTTTTGCTTGATCACGCTTTTGGTCACGCTCCTGGAGCAACCTAGTCTCCCCACCTTTGGTCAAAAGTTTGACAGGTAAATTCATGCGGGAGAACTTTATGCAGCCAAATTTGTTCGCCGACAGACTACTTGCCAGCAACTGAAGCCTTTTTTTCACTCCAGTTAACTAAAGTTGTAATATATAGATTTTCTATTTTATAGTTTACTCAAACAAAATATAGAATCATGTAACCGGCGACGGCGACGATAACGGCCAAAAAATAAGTCTAATTAGCAAAAAAACAACTTTGCACACTTTTTTTTATACATTTTTTTGCCGTTGTTTTGCAAGACTATAACATGAAACTTCTAGAAACGTTCAAGTTAATAGGTTGAAGTTTATTCGTTTTAATCTTTTGGTTTTAAGTAATTAAAATTATGTAAGTGGACGCTCCGCTTTTAGCCTTGGCTAAATCTATATACATGTCTTATTCATACGTTTTGAGTAAAAGAGTGTCAAGGTTGGCAAAAATAAGCGGTCTACATTTGTCTCGCGTACAGAAATATTGAATTTTCTTTTGAATACTATTTTTTTTCTTAAATTGATGATTTTACTTTTAAAAACATGTTCCTAATTTCTGTACGTGAAACGAAATGAATCAGGGTCATAAAATAAGGTCTCTTGTCTTAAACCCAGGGTAGAGTGAATAAACAGGGTCAGACTTTGGAAGCCTCGGCATCAAACCTCTACCTAATCTTCCTTTGAGTGCCCTCCAGATGTACTAGACAGTCCTGAATGTTTCAACTCAAATAGGAAAATTGGCTTCACCGTAATACGGCAAAACGTCTTCTTTGGGACCCCTCTAAAGCGAGGATACCCCCATTTAAGGGACACAAACTCCCCTCACCTTTCCGAAAAAAAAGGACGAAAAGTTAGTATAATCGTTGTATACGTTGCCTCTCAATTGAAGAGATGCCCCTCAGTCCTATATCAGTTACCTACGAACAATACGAACGACAACGAATGGATTGTGTACCACTCAGTGTTAAATGCTAGCTTAAGATATGGAAGAGAGTGGTCATCCCTTGCCGTGGCTATAAGCCGCTTGCCATAGATAATCACTATTACCTAATTACTGATTGCAGCCTCAGTTGGTCATTGCAAAAGTATGTGTATATAAAGGCTAATTAGATTTAACAACTCTGACGAGGGAAGGGGATACTCCCTACAATAGCCCACACAGGGAGGCTCCACCCAAAACGGGGTACCTTTTTCAGGTTTCACTGAGGTATTTCAAAGGGTAGGGAATTCAAGAGTAGAAGTATATAAAACGGTTGAAAAATCTGTCAAGTGTTCAAAGGCCATAAATCAAGTTGTTTCCAAAAGACCAGCCTAATGATTATATCATTTGAATTTATTAAACGTCACACGAAAATGAAAAGAAAATTTTCTGTTTTAGCGACGTCTTGTTCTTGGTATACCTTTTGTCAAAAATGGTACACAAAAGGGTAAAGGGTTGGACCCAGGGGAGGAGCTTTCCCGTAAAAAAACTTTGTTGAGTAGCCCCCTGCGATTGATGATTGGTTCGCTGATTAATTGATGAATCAAAACATAGGATTCAGCGGTTAGGTATGACATTCTAAAGTTTTCATTTCAAAGAAAACAGCTAGATTTTCCGAGGATCTAATTCATCCTGTTCAAATTCGACCTAACTGAAGATATAGTCAACCTACAGGGTGTCCCAAAAGTTCGTTCCTCTACTTTATAAGTCTGTAACGCACTACGATTGGACTTGATCAGCACATTATTTAAACCAAAGTTGTGACTTTCAATCTAATTTAATATTTCATACTTCTTGTGCCATCTTTTGACTCGAAATTCGATTTGTGTAATTTCGCGCCAAAGGTGCGCTGCAATAGTATATTTTTGCGGCATATATTTTTTGTATTTTGTAGCCCGAAATGCTCGAACTCCTAACTTGTTTTGTGTGAATATCCTGAAAGATTAAACCCTCTCAACGAAAAAACAATCAGCTACGTGAAAGCAGAAGCATGTATTTCTATCTACTGGCTTATCAGTTGCACAAATTCCTAAAGAAATGGAAAAATCCGAATGTTGGGTGGTAAGATGGTCATAGAGAAATGAAGGTTTTACAGACAAGAAACGAGGGGTAAGACCGAAAGTCCTGAATAAAACCGCTAAAATAGTTTTAAAGAAGGCCATGTACAAAACAGGAAACCCAACGAGGTAGCTCTTACAACAGTTATCAAGTTAAGTCTGGAGCAGGTTTATGAAGAGCAAAGTTTGGAGACCCCTGAGATGGCAAAAACACTTTACTCCCGGCCAGGGCCGTCCGCCAAGCAACGTGCAGCTCGTCTCAAATTTGTAAAGAAGAACAAAAGCCTTACTTTGGAAAGAGGACGGAATGATCATCTTTTCTTGGATCAATGCCCAAAATATATTGTTTCAGCTGCCTAATCTAACAAATTATATTGTTTGGGGGTCGAAGTGACTCCTGCATATTAGGTGATAAAAAAGCTCAAAATGAAGCATCTAGGGCTCTACATGCTACATGGCTTATCTCACTTAATGTCGCACGTCACGGCTACAGAGTGTGATAAAAAAACAAAGGGGAGATGCCGGTAACTGAACTTCTGAACACAAATACTCGATAGAGTAAGAAACATATTTTAGAAATTTCCTGTAAAATTAAGTTTTGATCAAAAGTTATGGCGCGTGAAATTAGAGGAACGAACTTTTGGGGTACCCTGTATAGTTTGGCGCTAAGATACTGAGGCCTATGGGGCCTGTTTTTCAATATCCTCATAACAGCTAAAGTAGCAAAAATATAAGCTGAGCCTCCATTCCCCACATAACTCCCCCCCTCCCAAGAAATTCGCTAACAACTGATAAGGATATATCTTGTTTAAAAGGTTGTGGAGGCTACATAAAAAGGAAGGAACCTTAATATGGCCGCTTCACCAAAATATACTAAAGAAAAACTGAACTATTACAGAATTTGCTATCTAACAACAGATATATTAACAGAGGGTCTGCAGTCTGTATTCAAACAAGAATGGGATAATCGCTACAAGGCTACTCTGGGAGAGTGGAAAGATGACCCTAAAAGTGGGATGAATTTTTATGACCAAGAATCCAGGCAAAATATAATACGAAACAGGCATCTACTGGGGCTCATGCTAAATCGGAATAGAGCTAAATGGGACTGCAATATGCTGTTTTACGCTATTCTCGATTCTGATTGTATCGGAAAAGGTCTCAGCCCCACGGTCAAGACTAACGTAGACATTCTAAGAAAATTCAGGATCAAAGAATTCGCTGATTTGAGACGGGGTCGTCTAACGGACGAAGATTTTCAAAATGCCATTGTTAAAATGTATGGTGCATTTCAAGCTCTTGGCCTCTCCACAAAGCAAATTGATGACGTCAAAAATCAAACAGGTTTTCCCACGGAGGAGTTACGATTCGCACTTAGCACGCATTTGAAACATTTCAGCCCTGATCATACCGATGTTGCAATCATCTACACCGACTTGGGTGACATACACCAGAAACTGGGTGATCTGGAACGTGCAAAGGAGTATCAGTATCGTGCCCTTGCCATTTGGCTAAAGAAACTGGGTCCTGACCACACTTATGTTGCAACTACTTACTCTAAATTGGGTGATATACACCTGCGATTAGGTGACCTTGAGTGTGCAAAGGAGTATCAGGATCGTGCCCTCGTTATTAGGCTAAAGAAGCTGGGTCCTGACCACACTGACGTTGCAACTACGTACTGTGAATTGGGTGTTATAAACCAGCAATTAGGTGACCTGGAGCAGGCAAAGGAGTATCAGGAACGTGCTCTCACTATTATGCTAAACAATCTGGGTCCTGACCACACTGACGTTGCAACTTCTTACTCTGAATTGGGTTATATACACCTGCAATTAGGTGACCTTCAGCGTGCAATAGAGTATCAGGATCGTGCCCTCGCCATCAGGCTAAAGAAGCTGGGTCCTGACCACACTGACGTTGCAACTTCTTACTCTCACATGGGTCTTATACACCTGCAATTAGGTGACCTTGAGTCTGCAAAGGAGTATCAGGATCGTGCCCTCGCCATTAAGCTAGAGAAGCTGGGTCCTGACCACACTGACATTGTAATTGATTGCTCTAACTTGGGTTTCATACACCTACAATTAGGTGACCTTGAGCGCGCAAAGGAGTATCAGGATCGTGTCCTTGCCATTAGGCTAAAGAAGCTAGGTCCTGACGACACTGACGTTGCAACTTCTTACTCTCACTTAGGTCTTATATACCTGCGATTAGGTGACCTTGAGCGTGCAAAAAAGTACGCGTATCTTGCCTTTGCCATTAGACTAAAGAAGCTGGGTCCTGACCACAGTGACGTTGCAAGTGATTGCTCTAACTTAAGTGTTATACACCAGCAATTAGGTGACCTTGAGCGCGCAAAGGAATATCATGATCGTGCCCTCGCCATTATGGTAAGGAACTGGGTCCTGATCATACTGACAGGGCCATTTGTAGCCTGCGAAAACATCCGTTTCTCCTCGCTCTGGGGACGTTTCGCGCAGAGGAACGTCTGCGACTCAGCGATAGAAATTGCATACTGATGACGTAAAATCTGTCCGGAATCCGGTCAGAGGCGCTGATTGGTCAACGGAGTAGTTACATTGTTTTAGCACAGGGAGCACGCACAATCTGTTTGTGTAGCCGATTGTTATTTTATAGTAAATGTTCTGGATTTACCGTTTGCCTCACCTATAGCGATACGTCGCTAACTATGTATATAAATCAATGATAAATAAACGTTGAATTACCTTACCTGTGGTATATAGTCGTCCTTTTACCTCAAAAGCGGTTTTTTGAGCGATTTTGAAGGAGTTTGAATTCACCGTTGACTGTTCCTTTTATTATAAGGAACAGTCAACCGCGAAATCCAACTCCTTCAAAATCGCTCAAAAAGCGGCTTTTGAGGTAAAAGGACGACTATATACCACAGGTAAGGTAATTCAACGTTTATTTATCATTGATTTATATACATAGTTAGCGATATATCGCTATAGGTGAAGCAAACGGTAAATCCAGTACATTTACTATAGACACTATAAAATAACAATCGGTTACACAAACAGATTGTGTGGGCTCCCTGTGGTTTTAGCTATTGTTTATGAATGACAGAGAAACGACAAAAGGCCACAAAGGTCAAATGTAAAGGCGACGAATCTCAAACAAAACAGCCAATATTTGTGGAATATAGTCTTCTCTTGAAGAAGCATTTGAGTTTTGCTGGAACTCGTTGGCAGATGAACCCAACACTTTACCAAAATCCACCAGAAAACACGTAAAATTGCACAAATTTATATTTGGAACCCCATGACTACCGGATTTATTATGTAAACATTGATTTGCGTCATCAGTATGGAATTTCTGTCGCTGAGTCGCAGACGTTCCTCCGCGCGAAACGTTCCCAGCGGCGAAGAGCGAGGAGAAACGGATGTTTTCGCAGGCTAGGTCATTTGTACACTTACTTGGTGTTAACTTTTCGTTATTTCGTACCCAGATCTCTTTTCGACGAAGCCGAAGGCGAGATACGGTCAAGTACGAAAATTCAATTTCTTTGATTGGCTACTCAAACTGCCTAGATTGTGAAGGAGTGACGTGAATCTGGTCCTGCATCTGCGCGCGCAATTGCGTGTACATGCGTGTACATACATACATACATACACTTTATTGATGCTCCCTAAGTGGGCTTTTCAGCTCAATAGAATAAAAAATACAAATTTATATAAATTAATTAAGAATGTAAGTACAATAATATTATAATTACAAAAAATATATCAACTTAATAAAACATTTGCAAGATGACACCTAAAATTCCTGGGGCAATTCACACTTTGCGAAGTCCTCCGTTTTGTTAAAAACGAGAATATTTTCACTGAATAAGTAGTTTTCTGTTTAAATTTTGTAGATTGTAAAACCCAGTTTACCTTACCTTAAGATAAAGACTTAAAAAAGATATGGCAAAAAAATTGTCGCGTAATGCTTTGAGCTTTGAACATGAGCTTTGAATCATTAAATTTAAACTAATTGTCGCTTTGAATTTGAGAATACAAAAAAAAATCAGCAGCAACAACAGCATGTTGGTTGGTTCATACTTAATCTACTTCTTTTAACACGTCTTGTTGGAGAAAACTTCTCGACGCTATCCAGTTCGTCGTTTAACATGGCCACCATTTTGAGAATTTATTTCAAGCCTGCGCTCTTATATCAGGTGATCACGTTCACAAATCGGATTTGACCAGATCTCCCCTTTGGCTTCGTCGACAAAAGATCTGGGTACGAGATCAAACTTTTCTCTGACGTCGCCATCGTGGTTACGTATACTCCCTATTTACTCGACTTAAGCATGGACGTGAGATTGTGTGTGAAATGAATGCTATGTGATGTGAGCTTTCTCGAAGTACCTTATATGTCTGTTATTCTTTATTTCAGAATCGGAAAAGTTATTGGGAACAAAGTACCTATTAGTTCCAGTGATGACTTGTCAAATTACTCATTAATAATAGCCTGTATACAGACGCCCCCCTCCCCAAGTTTTTCTGAGGGGAGGGGGTGGGGGGCGTCTGTACAAAGGCTAATTAATAACAGTAAAGTTGTAATTAAGCATCTTTCTTAAGATGCTTAACTTAACTAATTATTCATTCAAAACATTTCTGCGATTCTGATTGGCTAAAAGCACGCGCATAATTCACCATAACCAGCTACTGCTGACCAAATTTGGAAGAATTTTGCGTTTAATGAACCAATGACGTCAAAAGTTCAGCGTTCTTGCAGGTTAATGCACCGTTAACCGAGAAGACCTGGGGACGAGGTTGAGTTGTTTTGGTTGTGAAAACAGAAATGGCGGACATTTCACTCGTTTCAAGAGTAAAAACTAGGCGAAATAATAGCTAACAACATGACAAGAACAGCAAGAAGACAACTCGAAGGGCGACTTCTGCTATTTAGAGAATATTTGCGGAGCTGAACAACCCTAAACGTGCACTATCGAAGATGAACTTAACAACGACTGCATCGATGGAGGTAAGCATGTTTTAGCTATGTTTTTAAACTTGGAATTATTTTGAATGAATAATAAAACAATTATTGAATTCGGCTTTCGTATCATATGAAGAAATATGGAGATCTCGGAGGGTGTTATCCACCTCGGCGTACGGCCTCAACAGATAACACCCTCCTTGATCTCCATAGTTCCTCATAAGATACTCAGCCCCATTCATTAATTGTTAATTAACTATATCCATAGGCGTACGGGCCGGGGGGGCGAGGGGGGCTGCAGCCCCCCCAAATTTTGGGCAACTCAGATTTTTTGGGCAACACGAGAAAATTTGGGCAAAGCCAGTTTTTAAAGAGGTCCCCATGTTTTTATTATTATTTTGAAGAGATAAATATTTTCTATTTTAACCTGAAGTCGGCGTTATAATCCAGTGGCTGCCTAGCACGTGACAAGTTTCTGGCTATAAGGGAAAGGTATCATATGCTGATTTTTTTTATTGTTGGGCACTGTACTGCAATGTGCTATTTCCACTTGTGAATTTATTACAATAAACTTCCGCCTAACTTTCTAGAATCATCTCCGCTCGTAGAACAGTGTATGGCAGATAGCATCAGCAATGGGTCCGAAAGTGAAGAAGTGGCTGACTAATTCACAGTTTGAAATGCGAGAAGAATCTTAATTTTTTCAAAAAACTCTATTGAGCGGTTTAAAAATTATTCACTAATTTGTTACAGTAGACTGAAATGTTTACAAAACCGCTAACCAGAGCGCCATGCTACATGCTAATCAAATCCTTCCTTGTAGCAATTGGCCGAAGCTATCTCCATGATCTTTCACCCACGTTTTTAAAAAGATTGAAACTACTATGAGGTGAAATTGCATGTCAAAAGCGCATCGTTTTCTACAGATAACGGCCAAACATCAGGATTTTCCTTTTTTGTACCGTATTTCCAACGATAAAAAACTTTATCCCAAAATGTCTCGATAACGCTCTTACAGATTCCGTTTTAACTTCACGAACATTGAGGCGTCTATTGGAGGAAAAAGCTCCTGTGATCGATTTTAGAAGAACAGTTCCCACAGAGAAATATTGCTGCAAGTATAATAGGTAATGGCTTCATTTCATTGCTATGACAACTCCGATGTCATTGCAACCCTGATCACAACAAATTTCATCTTTATCTAATACAACTGTTACAAAAGTTTGTTTATGGCGACGTAGTTTATGCTCAAACTTGGCAGGTATTGACCGTGAAAAACTGTATCGAGCCATTTTCATATGCCAGTACGGCCTATGTTGTTGCATCTGCCCTAATTTCTGTTCGACTGTTTTGGGCAACTTGCAAAAATTTTTTGGGCAAATGGTTTACCGCCCCCCCTGGCAAAAAATTGCCCGTACGCCTATGACTATATCTAACTGCATTTATGTAAATGATTAATCGATATGAATGACAAATAGTTCACCCGCTTCACTCAAACTTAGACTCAGTGGCTGTCTGCTCATCCGCCTGAGCTCTGCAATTATCATGATAGTTGACAGCAGAGGTCTGATTGAGCTAGGTGGGGCAAAAGGAAACAAATTATTTTCCAGTCAAAGCCTCAAGTGAACAATGCTTAAGCCCGACATTGAAGTAGTGGTTTCAAAAGTCCCTCTCCCTATCCCACTACTTTTGCCCACAGCCAAAGGCTACCCACCCGCTATTATAGGCTGTTCCTGGGCTGTCTGCCTGTGGTGGCCTTGACCCCCTCAAATTTTTGACACCGGAGTGGCCTGCAGCCCGACACCAGGCGAAGACCCATTGGCTAAGCGTTAACAAATTCGAACCGATAAATTGGTTTAGAAACAAAGAAAGATAGCCAGAAAGAAGGTGATTGCCGTGTGGAAGTCAACAGGTTAAGTATAGATGTTTGTTCTGCAAAACCTTAAACAACATAACCTGCGGACACAGACGTATTTCCGGTCGTCGCTTTTCTCCACTCGATTGGAGAGAAGCGACGACCGGAAATACGTCTGTGTCTGCAGGCTATAAACAACGTAGAACACGTAACAATTTGTTTTTTTGTATCTGTTCAGGGCACTAAAGTAGAATCACGAGAAGTACTAACAGAAGAGTCAGAAGAAGCTGGTAAAGTACATGAGAAGGTGGCTGAGTTGGCAACTGAGGAGGGCATGAGTGCAAGATACCATGGAGAATCGAAAAAAGAGGCGGATGAGAAGTCTGATGAAGAAACTGGAGCTGAAGATGATGTTGAAGGGGAAATATTTTTTGAAGTAGAATCTGGAGCAAAGGTAACAAGTGAAGGTACCAGCTGGGCCTTCAAACCGTGGGGTATTCACCTGATGTTCCCTCCTGATGCTGTATCTGAGCGCACGTCAATAGTGGTCCGCAGATGCAAATACAGTGTCTGTTCACCCCCTCTGCAGGAGCATGAAGCCATCACTAGCAATGTTATTGAACTATCGTTTATGAATGGCCCAGATCTAAAATTTAACACCAGAGTGAAGCTGTCGCTATCCCACAGCGCAACAGACCTACAGGGCTACGAGCTAGTGATAAAAAAGCTGATTGACAAGGAGACGAATAATTGGCAAGACCTGGATGGAACAAGGAGCATACGTTGTTGTCAAGACTTCGAAGAAAATCACCCCTCCCACACGAAAATACCGGACTTTCTCTTTCCCGTTGCTCAAGCTGATATATCTGAGTGCTCAACATACGCAATAGTTAGTCGTCTAAAGGCTTCCCCAACTTACACTATCACATCTTCTGGCGGCTCTTTAAGCCATCCTGACTTCCCGGGCGTGATAATTTCTATCCCTGAAAATGCTGTTGCACCTAACTCAAAGCTTCCGGTGGAGTTAAAGGTGCAAGAAGTTTTAAATGAAGATTTTGAAGGGGATGGTAAATTTCTTGGGCCTGTATTGCGAATTAAATGCGTCGAAGCTGTTCAGTTCTTGAAACCTGTCACTATTCAGCTACCAATTTCTCTTCGAGAGCAAGAAGACATGAATCTGAATCCCACAACATGTCACGTCAGAGTCCTGTTCCTCAAGTCCGATAATGGTCAAAAAGAATGGATTGATATCACTGATGATCTTGTGAACCCGCCAAATCTGGATGGAAAGTTCGTAAGGTTCCATGTGAAACGTTTCTCTGGATATTCAACATGTGGTGAGAGGAGAGACGAACACTCCAGGTCTTATGTACAAAGAATTATAAATTTCCTTAACAGCCTCATTTTTGGTCAGCCCAGACTAACAGTCTTCTTTGCTTACTTTCGTCCGGATCTTATAAATATTTTGCGTCTGATTTGTTGCCCTGCTCAAATTAAAGGGGAGGGGGAAAGGAAACTTGAAAAACAAGGCATAACGCCTATTTGTAACAACTCAAAGAAAGATATGACACCTGGGCACGACGAGGCATCCGTGTCTGTATCAGGAGGGATATACCCTTATATAAAGAGTGACATGGAGGAAATGTACCTTAGGGTTTTAGAGAACGATCCAGACGATGCTGAGTTGGAGGTTTGTTTTCGTGATGGCAGAAACATAGCACGAGTTGAGTTTTTTAGAAAACCCCAAGAACCATTGTGTAAATTGCACTTAAGAACGCCCGCTAGGGGTACGGATCGGTCGGACTTGTCGGAACTTACTCGTCAGTCTAGTGCAGTGATGGAAGGCAGTCCAACGGAAAGTGTGCTAGAGCGTCTATCAAACAAAATCCGCTCTAAAGATTGGAGAAAGCTTGGGCGGCGGTTAACCTTCCACGAAGCACAGTTGGATGAATTTGATAACGACAATGAACAAATATCCGAAAAAGCATACGCTATGTTGTTAACTTGGAAACAAAATTTCGGCAGAGATGCCACCTACAGTGTTCTGAAAAAAGCCCTGTGTGACAGGACCGTGGGGCTTAGAGATTTGGCACGAGAATTTTGTTGTTACTGAATTTGGTTTTTACGTTTTTCTTTTGACTGAATCGACAGCAGTCTACTTTCTACTTCTTGCGGCCTATTTTTTTTGGCTTTTTTGTTCGTGTACAACCAAATGAAAAGACTGGGATAAATACGTGCGTTACATTCTTGTACAGTGCAGTAGAACTTCAATGTAACGAGCCTCTACTAACGAAGTTCTAGATGTAACGAACAATCTTCTTTGCCCCAGTAATAGTAAAATATATGAAAAAGAACCAAGATATAACAAAGCCTCGTTATAACGAGCAAATTTTGCCAGTCCTTTGGGCCTTAGTTATATCGAGGTTCCACTGTATAATGTATGTACAACGAGCTTGGCCTCGACGTCTTAGAAACCCCGTACGTACTCCCCGCCCTCTCTCTGGCATGAGGTCTGGGAGTCGTCTGTGATATAGTTGGTCAATTAATTACAGAGACACAAGCACTTTACTATACGTATTAAAACGCGCTCATCCAATTGCTTAAGTATAATCATTGTAAATACAAGGATAAGGTAGGTAGGTTACGTTTGCATGTATGCGACTGAGCCCAGTGGCCCATCAGGTGGGAGCTCGTTTTCTTTTGCTGTAGCATGATTCCTTTTCACAAAATGCATGCCCGAAGTACTGTGAAGTTATGGACACTGATGCCAAAAGATAACATTTTTATGGAGAGTATTTATGCATTCATGGTATTTTGACTACGAAGAAGGTTTATTAACAATTGACGTTTTCCTTCAAATGTGCTGAAAGCAATGAAAATATACTTCCAAGTTGTAATGCTTTTGGGAATGGTAGATAAAAAACTTTACAATGGAACAGAAGTGCTATCGCTGAATCTTAATTCAATAATTAATTTACTTATTAATGTGATAAATGGTAGCTCCTTACTTAGTTACTCACTTACGGAATTCGTCATTCCTGAATTTAATTTCTCTTCCTTTACTTTAAAGAGTCCTTTTTGGTCCCATTTATATGGAGAAAACTTGTCCCAGGTAGAAAGGTCATTTGTTCACCTCAGATACTCTAGGCGCGAGCCAACTTTTGCTACATTTCCCCCTTACAAGACCAAACTTGTCGAACCGTTTACATAGAAGGGTGACTCACCTAGCCAAGCAAACTTTTCTACATGTAAACACTTTGGCTCGCCTAGCCCGGCCAACTCGGTCAAGGCGAGACAACCATAGCAAAAAATAATGTATATTCTCGAAATTAATCTTTGTTTTATGACCTTTGAGTTTCAAGATCACTGGAAACTTAATAACCTTAAAATTTGATAAGCCGCTGGAGATAACAGTCTGGATAATAAGAGATCATATGAGGCTCTTTCTTAAAAACACGAAATTTCCGCCAAAAAGACCCATTCGAGTCCAATCTCAAATTGTTTAAAAAATATTTCCAGCGGTTTCCAAATTATACGCTCATTTGTTCAAGGGTAGAAACAATGAGCCAAAAACAGCAGCAAAAAGCCAAAGGAGTGAAACGCAGGAAACTTTCAAAACTTTACTGCCGGAGGGGTAACCAGTACAAGGGCCGAACACCGGAAAAAGACGGATTTTTTAAAATCAAACGCTTTTTTTAATCAATAAAATCGTATTAACCCATAGAAATCTGTCATTTTTTGAAAAGGGTACAATTTCTACAGTAGACTATTTTACAGTTGTGGGCCTCTTATCCAAGCCTTTGTACAAATATCAACCTCGTCCCCAGGGCTTTTCCCTTAAAAAATGAGTGAAAAGCCCTGGGGACAAGGTTGTACAAATATGAGGGTGAGGTTGACCTTGTTTTGATACAAACCTCGTTCTTTTCTTGATCATTATGCTTAAAAAATAATAGTTAGCATAAGAAGAACATGATTTACATAATAAAGCAAGAAGGGTTGTATCAAAACAAGGTCAACTCCAGCCTCGTTTTCACTTGTAACTGTGGGCTATTAGCCAGTGTTGCTAAAGTACTAGCCTGTGTACAGACCCCTCCCTCCCCTCAGGAAAAATCTCCGATTTTTCTTGAGAGGGGGGGGGTCTGAACGTCAAACTGTTTTTGTTTTTTTTCGAGTGCGAGCATCTGTTTATTGATAAACCGATGGTCATAACCGAGTCCGCTATATATCCTAGCAACATTCCAGTGACGGATCCAGAACTTCAGATTAGGGGGGCCGTCATCGAAACCCTGAGATAAGGGGGGGTGTCGGTCTCCCAAAAATTTTTTTACCGCCCTTCGGGCCTCATTTTGGTCGAAAAATAAGGGGGGTCCGGGCCCCCCGGGCCCCCTCCCTGGATCTCCCACTGCAGTCCGTGCATGCTCAAGAAAGACCTTACTCAATTCATGATTCAGAGTCTTTCTTGAGTGCGCCAAAATGGAGCAAGCGAAAGAAAGGATCCTCTGGCAGGGTGGGGACGGGTGAAAAGTTAAAAAATATCACATTTCTGTTGCCTGCATGGCAAAGGGTAGTGGGGTGGGGAGGGAAAGAGGAGGAGGAACGTACCCTTTCGCTTTCGCTTTAGTTTCCCCCCCTTCTCCCTCCACCTTTTGCGCCTGTCAAACAGGCTAAATTGCGGAATCGAAAATATTCCTACATAGTAAGTACGGGATTTCTTTTCAAGTTTTGAATATTTTCAGTTTAATAATTATACATACAAAGTAATAAAACTTGCTCTCTGAACATGCTCAGAGAAATTATTCCCATAATCTGCATAATGGATTTCAATTGCAATGATAACGTAGTCTTGGTCCATTTTGCTCGTTTCTTAATTAATGGTCACACCAGTGTACTGGCTTCCACAAATTTAATACTCACTTGTGTAACCTCCGTTAAGTTAGACGATTTTAGGCATTTTATGAGGTCTTCCCCCGACTGTTCGAACATCGGCAGTAATTGTGTCTTTATTTATTTTTCATAGTCATCTTTTGTTTTTGAGATTGGTTATTCAAAATTGTCTTTTCCAAGCCACCTTCCGGCTTCCGCTCATCATCTCCAATTCCTGAGTTTCATTCCCCTCTCTTTCCTGAGGTTCTTTTTTCTATCCACAGTTATATTAGACATATTAAACCGGGTCAGTGAGTATTTGATTTCGGCTTTGGTTAAAAAATAAACATCGAGGTCACGTCAAAAAGATCCTGCGCGTGTGTCACAAAACCAAGTACTTTCACTCAGCGACAACGCCTGCAGCGGCTCGGCTGTCTGTTTGTTGCCCCGCTAAGGCTGTCTACTAACTTGTGCCGTTTAATCGATTTTTCACTTTTCACAAAATGTAAGTATGCACCTTTTCGAACCTTTGATTCATTTAAGCATTTTAACAGGGGAATGTGTTATTTGGTCGTGCTTTTTTAAGCAGTACGATGTCGAAAGATGAGGTACTATCTTACCCAATCGCCATATGAAATTAGCGTGATCTGACCTCCTCTCTTTACCCATTTTCAAGAAAAAGAAAATCTCAATGTTGGCAGTGACGAAACTGCTTTTTAGGTAGAGGATATTAGGAACTTTTCCTTGTTCACTCTGATCTCTTCTTCATATTTGTAAACAAAGAATAACGGCACGGATTTTACGCGAAACTCGTTTTAACAATCACTGATGATCAATAATGGTTGATGGTTGTCTATAGTCTTAGGTTAGGAGGTCGCACACAGTAATAAGCCTCACGGTTTCAATTTGAGCTTCCTTGCCATTTCTAATTTGCGTCACTTTTAACCTTCAACTATTTTGTTGTAACATATTGAATGACTGAATTTTTTTTCTGGAAAATAAGTAAATTGAAACTGAATGTGGGTGAAACACGCGGGCTTGCGTGAAGATCACGTCGTGCGAGAAGACGTCTCTCTTTCGCTTTGGAAATCGTGCCTAAGGACAATTTAGCCTCAGTCAACATCCCTTCATTCTTAATCAACGGCTATTGATCAATCTTATCTTAACATATTCACTAAGAATCTGAGTCGAGTGGATAACTGTTCGTTCATTTTTACCATCTGAAGGATAGTTTGTTTATTTACAGCATTAATTAATTTTCGCTTATATTGAATTGATTTTTTTGCCTTATTTTTCATAAGTCGTAAATTCGACCACTTTTCGCAGTGAAAAGGGTAAGGAGTTGGTATATATCAGTATCACAGTAGGGTAAATCTGAGCTGGAACTTCTCTGTTATCTTTCTAGCGCACCATGCTCCTTTATCTACCAGGGGTACCCAACGGCAATTTTCGGGAAAATATCTGTTCGGAAGACGATTTGAGAACTATGTAAAATTTTCAGTATCACAGTTTAGGGTAAATTTTCTGAGCTGGAACTTTTCTTTGTTGATCTTTTACCGTTTGAATACTAAAATACGTTCACCAATGCTCCTATATCTACCTGATCACGCCCCCAGAAACTACTGGTACGCGCCTAAGTCAACTGTGTCAGGAAGGGTGCGGAGCACCCTGCGAGCAGAGCCTCCTTTGAGGTCTTCTGGACTAGCCAATCTTGTTTTCTGTACGTGGTCAAGCTGGTTTATTCGAGTCAAGCATCTGTTCATTGATAAAACGATGGCCAGGGTATTAGGCCTGGGTTCCAAACTATATCCTAGCAACATGCCGCGCGTGCTCAGTAAAGATCTAACTCAATGCATGTAATCATGCATAGTCTTTCATCGAGAAAGCGAACGAAAGGCTCTGCTGGCAGGGTGGGAACGGGAGAAAAGTAAAAAATATTGTTTTCTGTAGCCTGCACGGCAAAGGGTAGTGGGGTGGGGGAGGGGCTGGGGAGAGAGGAGGAGGGATTTACCCTTTCGCTTTCGCTCTAGTTTTTCTCCTACCTCTCCCTCCACCTTTTGCGCCTGTCAAGCAGGCTAGATTGCGGAATCGAAAATATTTCTACATAGTAAGTACGGGATTTCTTTTAAGTTTTGAATATTTTCAGTTTAATCATTATACAACTTGCTGTCTGAACATGCTCCAAGAAATTTATTCCCATAATGGATTTCAATCGCAATTATAATTTAGTCCCGTCTCGGTCCATTTCAC